CCCCCCCCCCCCCCCCCGAAGGAGGAAGGCGGTAGAGGCGAAAACCTTAGTAGCAACAGGGGCCACGTGATATGAACTGCAACTCGATGAGCTAACGAGTCGAGTTTTGCTGGCTTAAGGTCTTACTAAGTTTGCACTTAGGGGATTGTTGGGTTGGGTTTGCTTGGGCAATTAGCTTATGGTCTTACTAACACTATAGAAAAATCACTTATTTCCGACAAAATGTTAACCACCAGAAAAAGTGGCAAAAATACCGGCGGATTTGGTGATGAAATTTGGTTTGAAGTTACTGCTAATTTTCTTATAGTATAAGTGTTGTGCAAGATTTAAGGGGTTTTAAATTTGGTTAGATTGGGTTTGGTTGAAGTGAACTCAAAATGGGTCATTTGGGCTTTTGTTTGATAGGGTTAATTAACCATGATCAAGGGGGCTTTATCATGAGTCAAACATGAATTTAAGTGCTCTCATGATGGGTTATGACCACTTAGACTCAATGCCAAGGCTAAGGGATTTAAATTGATTGTTTAGATTTAAATTTAAGCATTTTAGGATTAAGTAGTTCTTTGGTCAAATGCATTAATCAAGGATCCTTGACCATAGAGTGGCTTCAAGACCAAGCCAAGGGTTCCTAGGTCATTGGTCACCTAGGGGTAGGCCATAGGATGAGTGCCAAATGACTTAGGGTAGAATGATCATTTTAGGATTTTGAATATTTGTATTGGATGTAGGGTTGACTTTGTAGGGTCCACAGCCTATCTAATATAACTAAAGATTGTCTTAAGGTCCTTAATATGCTTCTAGATAAGTTTGGTGTTAACAAGCTTATGGATGATCTAATTAAAACCAAAGACTTATATATGTTTTCTATTAAATTTTGAATTTTTAATTTGGCTTCAACTTTATACAAATGAAGCTGCAAAAGGTTGATGGGCCTTCTAAAAAACTTAGGAAAGTTTATGATGAACTCTTAAGGGTCATGGGCATGAACTAAGACAAATAAGGGTTAACCTAATCTAAAAGTCTAAAGAGTCTAACATGGCTAATATTTGACTAGAAAGCTTTATCATTTAAATTTGTTATATGTTTATTTATAAAATTTAGTTAAACATATTGATAAAATTCAAAGATACAGATGTCATGTCAATATTACATAAATTTAGATATCATATTATGCAAAAATTCAAGAGGAGAAAGTAAAATGATAATTAATTATCTATAAAATCTAACTCTAGTGATTGTTCAAAGAAACAAACTATTGCTCAGCAACTCAATTATTCGATCATCAATACATGTTAAGTTAGGAAGTTCTTAAGAAGCTTAGCTAACGATTTCGTCAAGTTGAAAATTTCAACGGAGCCACATATTTAATAACTTTTTCTCTTATTTTTTTTTAATATAAACAAATTTGTAATGTTTAAATTGAACCTTATTTTAATTTCTAAATTGAAGGGGCATAACCATTTCCAAAAAATTTTTGCACAAACTTAATTATTTTATAAAAAAATTTTCAATAGACAATTCTTCAAATCTTTTCAATATTATATCCTCTCATTTAGAAAGATATAGTTTGGAACAATTTTCTTACTGTTTAATAAAACAGCTTTCTAGTACAAATAACATATTCAGTTAACAAAAAAATCACTTGCAGAGCTGCTCCACAGCTGCTACAATTTGTGCCGGCTGCACAACAGTCCACTCTTCCAGTGTCCCTGCGTATGGAGTCGGGACATCCTGGGACGACAAGCACATTATAGGTCCCGAAGGAGGAAGGCGGTAGAGGCGAAAACCTTAGTAGCAACAGGGGCCACGTGATATGAACTGCAACTCGATGAGCTAACGAGTCGAGTTTTGCTGGCTTAAGGTCTTACTAAGTTTGCACTTAGGGGATTGTTGGGTTGGGTTTGCTTGGGCAATTAGCTTATGGTCTTACTAACACTATAGAAAAATCACTTATTTCCGACAAAATGTTAACCACCAGAAAAAGTGGCAAAAATACCGGCGGATTTGGTGATGAAATTTGGTTTGAAGTTACTGCTAATTTTCTTATAGTATAAGTGTTGTGCAAGATTTAAGGGGTTTTAAATTTGGTTAGATTGGGTTTGGTGTTAACAAGCTTATGTATGATCTAATTAAAACCAAAGACTTATCTATGTTTTCTATTTAATTTTGAATTTTTAATTTGGCTTCAACTTTATACAAATGAAGCTGCAAAAGGTTGGCGGGCCTTCTAAAAAACTTAGGAAAGTTTATGATGAACTCTTAAGGGTCATGAGCATCAACTAAGACAAATAAGGGTTCACCTAATCTAAAAGTTTCAAGAGTCTTCTAACATGGCTAATATTTGACTAGAAAGCTGTTAGTTAAATTTGTTATATGTTTATTTATTACATTTAGTTAAGCACAATAATAAAATTCAAAGATATAGGGAGCCATGTCAATATTACATAAAATTAAATATCATATTTTGCAAAAAAATCAAGAGGAGAAAGTAAAATGATAATTTATTACCTATAAAATCATTTCTGGTGATTAATCAAAGAAACAAACTATTGATCAGCTACTCAATTATTCGATCATAAATACATGCCATGTTAGGGAGTTCTTAAGAAACTTAGCTGACATTTTTGTCAAGTTGGAAATTTCGATGGAGCCACATATTTTATAAAAATCATTTGACTATACAATTCTTTCAAAATCTTTTTAATATCTCCTCTCATTTGAAAAGGCCTCTTTGAAACAATTTTCTTACCGTTTAATAAAAGCAGCTTTCTAGTACAAATAACATATTCAGTTAACAAAAAAATCACTTGCAGAGCTGCTCCACAGCTGCTACAATTTGTGCCGGCTGCACAACAGTCCACTCTTCCAGTGTCCCTGCGTATGGAGTCGGGACATCCTGGGACGACAAGCACATTATAGGTGCATCCAGGTAATCCCAAAAATTGTCAATGATGGCCGCCCTCAAACTCGCACCTATACCTCCGGTGCGCATGCATTCTTCCACAATAAGCACTCGGTGGGTCTTCTTGATCGAGTTTCCAATGGTGCAGAGATCAAATGGCTTCAATGACCTGATATCAATGACCTCGGGGTCATATCCCTTGTTTATCAGTGCCTTTGCAGCCTGCATTACATGGTATCTCATGCGAGAGTAAGTGAGAATGGTAACATGCTCCCCTGGCCGAACCATTTCTGCTTCTTCTAAACACAGCACATAATCCTCATCAGGGATCCTCTCCTTGAGATTATATAGCAGAACATGCTCAAATAGAACCACAGGGTTGTCGCTGCGGATAGCAGCTTTCATGAGGCCCTTGGCATTGCATGGGGTAGAGCAGGCAACCATCTGAAGGCCAGGAATGGACTGAAAGTAAGACTCCAGGCGCTGAGAGTGTTCTGCACCTAGTTGACGGCCAACACCGCCGGGTCCACGGATCACCACTGGGATGGTGAACTGGCCTCCAGAAGTATAATGGAGCATGCCACAGTTATTAGATATTTGATTAAAGGCGAGCAACAGAAAACCCATGTTCATACCCTCAATAACAGGCCTTAGGCCAGTCATTGAAGCTCCAATGCCCATGCCTGTGAAGGAATTTTCAGCAATGGGGGTATCAAGAACCCTCAGGTCGCCAAACTTGGTGGCTAAACCTTTTGTTACCTTGTATGAACCACCATAGTGACCAACATCTTCACCAATGACACAAACTCGGGGATCACGTTCCATCTCTTCTTCTAGACCCTCTCTTAACGCTTCAAAAAGCAGCAGCTCATGGCCTGGTTTCGAGTCAGCTGAGCTAGCGGTGGTAGTAGTATCGGCCTTAGCTGCAACTGCATTTGGGATCAACTTAGCCCTTCGAGGCATCACACCAGATGTTGTAGACAGCCTCCCATTAGTCCTAACGACGAAAAAACCCTCATTTCGAACAGGAGCAGATCGGAGCGCTGATCTGAGCCGGAACCTCTTGATGTCAGTCTGCGACCCCATCAAAAGCGCCGCCGCTTGTAGAACTGCTGCCATAACAAGAGAACAACCTCGAGATCTTCAGCTCGATCAATTGAGAGCTTGTGAGGTGGGATTTATGGAGTTCCGTCCTGGGCGCGGAAGCTTTTGCACAGACCTGTATCAATCGCCAAGATTAACATTTCGTTTGGGACGATTTTCTTACCATATTTAAAAAAAAAAATATTGATTGGTTGAACAAGATTTGATTATGCAAGGGACTTGAGAATGGAAAAAATGTTTGCTTGATTTTGAAAGGAAGGATTCCAATGACCATTTATAGATGAGGATGAAAGAGGACAGCGGTTTCTCGATCTGTCATTCCTTTTTTCTAGGCTTAGGTGGAAACAAAAAAACTGTCAAAACTTCTAACTCGGTACTATTTACGGGGCGGACTAAGTTGTTTGTTGAAGGAGTTATGGGATTTATAGGCTGATGTGGAGCATTTATTGCTAATTTTAGGCTGTATTAAATAAGCTAAATTTTATGGCAGTTTTAATTTCTAGGAATATGGAACATTACGTGATTGGCGTAGGTGGTTAAATGGATGAAGAAGTTGTTAGTTTAGGCCATATTTAGTATATTTTTATTTTTTATATATATTAAAAATATACTAAAACATGTTTATTTAATTATTTTTTAAATAACTTCTTTATTTAAAATAATTAAAAGTGAATGTTTAGAAAATAATTTTTGTTTTTTTCCTTGCATGTTATTATTTTCTCCCGTAAAATTTGCGTGAAATGTGCAACTCTCATAATTGATTTTGTCGACAACTAAGAAAGATAGGCTAGCATTGGGCCAGATTATTGCATCCATCTGTGTGGTCATAGTCATTGTCATAGTGGGAAGGACGTTGCACCAATATAAGCTTGCTTAATGTCTTACTAAGTATTGGCTTATAAGTTTTTTGGATTGCGCTTGCTTGGCCTGTTAGTTTATGATCTTATTAAGCATTGTGCAAGATTTAATTTTGAATTTGGTTGGATTGGATTTGGTTGAAGTGAATTAATTGGACTTTCGTCCAACAAGGTTAACAACTATCAAAGGGGCTTTATCATGAGTCAAGCATGAATTAAAGTGTTTTCATGATGAGTTAAGACCACTTAACTCTATGCCATGGCTAAGAGATTATGGTCATTGGTCACCTATGATAGGCCTTAGGATAAGTGCCAGGATTTTGAGGATTTGGGTTTAATGTAGGGTTGACTTAGTAGGGTCAACAACCTGTCTAAGATAAATAGGGAGTGTCCTAAGGTCCTTAATTAGCTTCTAGATAAGTCCAGGGTTAACTAGGTTATGGGTGATCTAATTAAACCTAAAGACATATCTATGATTTTCAATTTAACTTTGAATTTTTAATTTGGCTTCACCATTATACAAATGAGGTTGCAAAAGGTTGAAGAGGCTTCTAATTGTTGAAGAAAGTTTATGATGAACTCTTAAGGGTCATGGGCATCACCTAAGACAAGTAAGGGTTAACCTAGTTTACAAGTCTTAAAAGTCTAACATAAGGAATGTGCTACTTACTCTAGAGTTTTCTAAGGATAGTCGATGATATATTATTAGAAATCCATCTAAGAGAATTTTATAGGAAATAATCCTTTAAACTAAGGCTAAGCACCTAAAGGTTTTGTCACCCTCATTTAAAGATAAGATTAATAAAGTTATTGCATTGTTAGAATCTATATCTTATATCACTCCAAATCTCAGAAGCATTTTCACAAAATAGTATGCTTGTTATAATTTTGGATTGGCAAGATGAGAACAAACATTTTTAAGATAGCTATGAAACCTTCCATAAAACCTAACTTATTGTTAGCAAACAAAGATATTATCATTAAAAAATAATAATTAAAAAAGAAATACTATCATAGCTATGCTCCACACGTTGTAATTATCCCCTGTGAGGATTTGGGACACGAGAACTATGTCAGGATTATGTGAATGATACAAATAATAAGACTAAACAAATCTTCTAATTTTGGTTTGTCATTGGTCGTCCATCAATGCTTTGAGGTGATACATCCATAGTAGATGGAAAAGAAAGAATAGAGAATGATTGGCGTAAGGGAAACTAATAGCTATTGCTCTGATACCAACTTAATCGGAGAAAATAATTGAGGAAAAATGAATATGAAATTTTATTGAGAAAGAAAACCTCACTTATTATAGAAATTTGATTAATATCTATAATAAAGTAAATGTACATCAAAACATGAATATGGTTGTATAATGAACTAGCCAGGCTTGACTTTGTCTATAATTTTTTCGCTTTCTTAAACTTTTCGAGACTATTATTTTATTCCTAACTTAATTTTAGCACTTTCGAAGTCCAAAAAATTCTTTTAAGAAATTTTGTGTGATTTTGGATGGATATGGCATGATAAGCTAGCTTCATTAAAAGGGGAAATGTGAGAAAGAATTACTTGATTTATTTTTTTCAAGATTGTGATTTTATAGCTAATAATTTTTAAGACTTGAAATACTTTTGGACTCACAAATTCTAATTTTTTTTTTAATATTGGAGATTCTCATTTCTAGTGTCCATGAGCGGCATGAACTAAAATCTTCCTAATTGTATGCAGATGGACTATATTGTGCTGATTCATGTAAATACTTATATACCTTCCAATCTGTGTATTTTGCCTTCTCCAAACTTTTTTTTTTTTTGCATAAATAATCAGCACAAACACTTAGTAAATGCATCACTCTTGACTTGCTTGTGTGCGCATCAGATCCAAAACTTAGGGAAGAAAAAGACCAATAAAGATCGATCCAAGTGATTATCGATTCTTCAGTTTAGTTTATAGAGAAGTTGAACCTTCTGAGATAATCAACACCGCTAATTTATTTAGAAATAGCTAATATACAAACAACAGCACACACTTCCAACCGATTTGCTGATTCCCATAGGATAACTTTACCAAATCAACAACAAAGCAAGCAAAAAGCAGTGGCGATTCGAGGAAAGACCGTAGTCTGGCGACGGGGTCGTAAGGATCGTAATTGGCGGGCGATGGAGGTCTGCAAGATCGTAGTTAGCGGACAACAGCGAATTGAAAGACCGTAGTTAGTGGGCGACAGAGGACGGAAAGATCGTTGTCGGCGATGGAGATCAGAAGGACTGTAATCGGTAGGCGACAGTGGTCAGGAAGAACCGTAGTTGGTGGGTTATGGAGGTCGGAAATGCCATTGTCAGGCGACGGTGGTTGGAAGGATCGTAGTTGGTGGCTATCGATGGCTCTCGCCCGACAAAGTTCGACGATAGTTGATGGTCGTGCAAAAGTCTGGCAAAGGTCGCTGAATGGGCATAAGTCCGGCGACAGTTGATGGCCGAGTGGAAGTCCGGTGACAGTTGGTGGTCGAGCAGAAATCTGGCGACAGTCGGGTTGGAAGGAAGTCCGATGACGGTCGATGATCTCCTTCCCACTCTTCTTCTCCTCCTCATTCTCTTTTATTTCTCTTCCTTGCTCCCCTACTTCTTTCTTTCTCAATGAAGAATGAGGGGTCTATAGTTTTTTTGGAAGTGACATGACCAGTAAATAGAGAAGAGATCTAGGACATGTTGGGAGTGTTTTGAATGAACCGTCGATATCGACTCTTTTGATTATGGACAATTTATCGAGTATTAAAGTGCTTTAATGTTGTGAGAAGTTGACGATCTTGGGCTCATTGGATTTTTCTCGTCGAGTCGCTCGATTCGACTATAAGCATACCATGTTTGGTTCGTTTGATCATCCAATTTATGATTTGAACCTTCCAATTGCGCTTCAGGTCTTCCATTTGGACCCATTTGGGCTCGGATTGGGTTGAATTGGTGTCGTTGGGTTCGATTGTTTGAGACGTTCAGCTCGCCTATAAGTTTGCATAAATCAGAGTTCGGATGGTCTCAAATTTAATTTCGAAAGTTTTTAACTTAATTTGCCTAGAGATTCATGCCCGATCAAGATAAATTTTTTTGATATATCAAATATATAATCATATTTATATGTTACAAAGATTAATATTTCATTTGGGACAACTTTTTTACAGTTTTCTAAAGCCGATTTCCTTACAAAAATTTTTTAAAATAGAAAATTTTATACTAGATAACTACTTCAAAAAAAATGCAAGAAAGCCGTCGCAAATGAAACCTAAATATCATCTAGTCTGACGTCTGTAATTTGATTCATTGACGTGCTCTTAGCTTGACCCATCTCTCTTTCATATATATTTTTAATGTCTGAGACAGTAGATTGATGCTAGTTTTATTCCCTGATTCTCATTTTGCCATGAAAAACATTCTTTAATTTTGAATGATGCGACTTTGCTTGTTGTGACTTTTTTGTGCTTGCTTCTTTGCCTTACCTATGCATATATAGTGTTCTACATAATTTACAATTGCATTTAATAAAAAAAATCTTAATTCTTTCAAATCTTTCCAATATCTCCTCTTATTTAGACTTTGTTTGGGATAATTTTCTTACTCTTTAGGATTTAGCAGCATTTTAGTACAAAATTTCAGATCAAAAAATTTTTATACTAAAAAAATGCTTTTAAAAATAGAAAGAGACGTTTCAAACAAAGCCACAATTTAGTTACAATTAATATCAACGTATGGATGACCGTCGGATCGTGCATATGCTGCGATAGCATATTCACCGAAAATGCGATGTCTGGCCTCGTTAACGTCAAATACTGAAGAGATCCAATGAGACGCCGATAGGTTGCAGCGTCAAAACAGGGTTCGTCATCAGCTGCAGGAGACGGTAGTTTTGTACAAGAAGGATTAGCAAGATGATTGCAATGAGTTAAATTTTCTAACTGGAGAATTGAATAAGCTTAAGAACTTTGTGATAGATGATACTTATCTGGAGAAGATG